ACTGGTTGTTGGCTTCCATGTACTGATTTGTTTGTACCATGAATTTCTCAAACATGTCCTCCAATGGTGGCTTTTTGTCTTGCTGCTGATATTGCCCTTGTGGCCTATTTTGATTCTGATTAGCCCATGAGAAATTTGGGTGTTTTCTCCAGCCTGGATTGAAGGTTTCTGAATGTGGGTTATTCTGCTGGCGCTGACCCCATTGTGCGAATTCTGCATGTTCTACTCCTTGTGCTAGAATTGGGCAAGTAGCAGTACTGTGATCTGCTCCACATTCTTCACAACTCTGCTTCAAAACTTGCTTAGCAGTAGCGGTTTGTGAAATGCTTTCAACCTTATGAAATAAGGAATCTATTTTCGCCGACAGTGCTGAGTAAGTATCTACTTCATACACCCCAGGTGCTCTCTTCTGAACTACTCGATTTGTAGACCACATAGCTGAAGTTGTAGCCATCCTCTCAAACAGCTCCCAGGCTCCGTCAATTGTTCTTGTAGAGATAGACCCGTCAGATGATGCATCCACCATACTCTTGAATGATGGGAGTAATCCAGTGTAGAAAAATCTGATCTGGGTCTTCTTGTCAAAGCCATGTTGCGGGCACTTCCTTAACATGTTCTTGAAACGGTTCCATGCCTCTTCAAATGATTCTGACTCGATCTGGTTGAATATTGAGATGTTATGCCGCATTTTAGCTACTTTAGCTGGCGAGAAGAACTTGGTGCAGAATTTATGAGCTAGCTCGTTCCAAGTAGTGATGCTTCCGATAGAGAGTGAATCCAGCCATTCAAGTGCTTTATCCCTCAAGATGTGCGGGAACAAGCGCAGTCTTATAGCATCATCGGAGATACCTTGGTATCTGAAGTGTTGACACATATCAAGAAATCGAGATATGTGTGTATGCGGATTCTCACTAGCCATCCCATGGTATTGATGCTCATTCTGAAACAGTTGAATCACGTTTGTCTTCAGTTGGAAGTTCGGTTGCCCAAATGGAGGACATACAATACTAGATTGACTTTGCACCACCAATGATGCCTTGAAATCCCCAAGTACCGTATTTCCATCCTCTTCCACTGCCAAACCTTCGTTGAGTGGAATTCCCGGTCGATTTTGCTCGTTCGCCATTTGTTGTACCACTCTTGCTTCCCTTTGCCTGTGACGAAATGTGCGTTCGATCTCTGGATCTATAGGGACCAAGTCTTGATCAGGTGCTCCTTGCATACAAGCCCTGATATGGCAAAATTAACACAAAAATTCAATATAAACAATAATAAAATAAATCTAATAAAATTAACAAGTACTAAACTAAATAAGTTCGAATTAGTGTCACAAAAGATAGAATTAAAACTAAAATTCAATCCCCGACAAAGGCTTCAAAAACTTGTTCACGAAACATTTCTTTTAATTTTAAAATCCCACCGCAAGTGTACGGTTCGTTAGCAAGTAGTAAAATGGACTATGAGTCCAAGTATCGTTCCCACAAGGATTGAATTAGCTCTAATTAAACTAATGTGACCTTAACCGAATCCAATTGAATGAAAATTTGGTCTAAGTGTGAAAAGCCCTAATTTTGGAAGAAACCCCCAATTTGAAACCCTAATTTTGAAGAAAACCCTAATTTCGAAATTGGAAACCCTAATTTCAAAATTCCCCTAATTAAATGACTCAACAACTCAATTAAAATGTAAATATGAAATTTTGGAAGTTAATGTATAGAAATAAATTGAAATAGAATCATTAGGATCTCGAATCCCCAATTGATTACCAAAAACCCTAATTTCACAAATTCAATGAATCGATGAAAAAATGCCAATTCAATGTTCCTAAACCTATCCAATATACTCTCTCGATATATATTAAACCTACTCTTCCATACCACCAGCCTATATTTCTATGGATGATGCAAATATACAAGAATGCATGAATTTCTATGAACAATTAACGAATTACATAAAGCATAGGGGTATATTTCTATCCCCTATCGGACCCTATGTTGATTTATATTTTATCGAATCTATTGCACTTCTCTCGAATGTAAGAAATAAATCATCTAATCTCACATAATATATGGCCAATAATTATGGATGCAATGAAAATATATAAATCAAGCATATTATCCAAACGAAACTTTATATTGAATTCATGAGATATAAGAATTTAATAGTAATCAAAGGTTCATCGATCTCCTAATGAATTTAAAACCCTAGCCTACAATCATGATTACTGAATCAAGAAATAAAAATAAAATTAAAAGATATAAAGAATACACCCGTATGAAAATCCTTGTTTTCTTGTATGAAATCTTGAAATCCTTCTTGAATCCTTGTGAAATCAACCCAAGATTGTGTTTTTGTGCCTCCAATTCGTCTCTCTGGTCGTTCCCCCCTCTTCTGGAAGTATTTTCGTATCTTATATCGCGTCCAAATTAGGTTAAAAAAAGAGTTGAAGTCGAAAAAGGAAACTGTAGAAACGCCCCGAAATTATACCTATGCGACCCCATAGAAGGATCCTATGCGGTCGCATAGGTCACTTGAAATTCACCAATTTTTCCCTGCATCCATCTATGCGACTGCATAGATGGTTACACTATGCGGTCGCATAGTTTGGCCATCTATGAAGTCCCTTCATTTTGGTCCCCGAACTTTCCTTGTTGCTTCTTTTGACTTCTTTCTTCGATTTCTTCATCTTTTCAACAAATTTTATCCTCCAATTGATGATTGACACCATCAAATCTCATGCCACTCATTTGGCTCATCTTTCGAGTATTTGCGCTTTAGTCCTCCAACTTTCAATTGTCTTCATTTCAGTCCCTCTTCGATACTTTCTCCCTCCAATTGTTTTGCTTTGTCCTTAAGCTCATACTCGGCATGTTGTTACTCTCGTTTTGCATTTAGCTCAACTTCTCAATATTTGCGCCTTTGGTCCTCGAACTATCACTTTGTTGCATTTTGATCCTTCTTCGGCTCTTTTCTCCTGAATTCCACAATTTCCATTGAAATACCTACATTGCATAAATTTAACTAGATTAAGTCACAATTCAACCATTTTATCCATGTTTAAGTCAAGTTTGTGAACCAAATAAGTGTGTAAAAACATACTTATCATGGGTTTATCCATCTCAAGATCATATTATCTATTCCAATGCAAGGATGGCGACCAAGGAAGAAGATATTTGTTATCTCGATCATTTATTATCTGCAATTATTTCTAATCAAGTGCATGGATCAGAGGATATGGCTAAAGAACTATGCAAATTACTCTGGAACTACAGTGATCACCATTGTGAATACTATGTTGTTGAAGATATGAGTCAAGCATCTCTTAATAGTGAAGAATTCCCTGTAGAATTTTTTGATTCGAAAATGGAAAAGTGATGGTGACAAAAGTAGCCCTTTATCACTACTTTAATAAAGAAATTTATTAAAGAAAAACTGTGGCTACTAAAAGACAGAAGATAGTGCAAGAAAAGTTTCCATAATTGTGAGTACTCCCCACCATTTGTCACAAGTGGCGGACAAACTCAAAAGATAAGGCATATAATTTCAAAAGGAGAGGTCCACTTAGCAAGAAGATAATGAAAAATTCAGTGGAGATAAGATGGCCTAGCTACCCAACAAAGAAAGAGGAAAAACACCTGTCAAGATAAGATCCCAAAGCCTTCTATAAAAGGAGGCAAGGAGAAAGAAGGAAATCATCTCGAAATAAACTATCTCTAAAACACTCGGAGGAAACACATCTTAGAGATATATCTTTTGTAATCTGTATACACCACTTGTATTCAGAAAAATATTAGATAGCTTGAAGATAGTAAAGCGTGTAATAAGGTAATCACTTATGGAGTTCTAAACTTCATAAGGTGAGTACCAAATGTATGTAAATATAGATTGCAAGCATGTACTATTTCAGTTTATGAATATCAAAGTAAAGTTTGTTATATTCAACAAAGCTTTCATAAAAAGATTTCGTTAAGTTTCTCATGATTCCTCGGCAGTACAGATAGAGATTTTAAAAGATTTCAAAACATTGATTTTGAATGGATGTTAGCCATGCCAAAGTACCCGTCTTTGAAGAATAGTTTAGGGGAAAAAGGCAATTTTCTAATAAAATTGTAGCACATTGTGTGTGAGTTATCTTTTAAAATTTCGTTTCAAGTAGGAACTTGATTCTGAAAAGAGTTTGGATAGAGGTGAAAACAGAAACTCTGGATACTGTGAGATAGCGTCTGTGGCAACACGGCTAGTTCTCTAGAATGAGAAATGCAACCTTAATTGAAAAGCTTTTTGCGGAAGCAGTTGTGGACCCAAATGATTTCAAAAAATATTTTAAACCTTTACTTGATTCAGAAGATTGATTAAGTACATGCAAAACATCTATAAGAGCATACTGGAGGGAAAACCTGTTTACTTCCACTTGATTACTGTAAGTTATTTACTTGTTTTTACATGTTTATACTTTAATTATTCTGATGAACAATTCACAAGCATCCACTTCCACTATTAATGATGATAATAATCTTATATTATTAGATAAAAAAGATGTTTCGTTTTTATTTAAGTTAGCAGAAAAATTTGAAGATATATTTCCTGTTGTTAAAGAAAAAATCGAAGAAATATATGGAGAAATAGATTATAATTGTAAGAATAATATAAGATTTGATTCTGTGGGAACTAGTAGAGAGATAAGAAAGGTAGAGGATATTATAACTAAACATAGAGATATAGAAGAAGAAATTTCAGAAGGATTAGTTCGATGATATATAACCAAGAAAGCTCAGCTTAGGATCTTTAAAAAATTATCAAGATACAAAGAATATTTAAAAGTGTTTGAAAGATTGAAAAATATAAATATAGGTCTTGATTAACAAATTCCTAAAGATATAAGAAATATCTTACAAATAATTATAATAAGGGTAAAATAGTACTTTCAACTGAAAAGACCATTGTAAAAAATAGAATCAATTTTCCGGCCATTTATAAAGACTACACCCGTAAAACAGACCCTTTACGGGTAGCAGCGCTCAGTCAGTCAAAGAATGATTCGTCATTGCTGGAGTAACCATAACGTAATGCGTGACATCAGACATCCAGAAATTTCTTACATCTATATATATATGGGATCGGGAAAATGCTGAAGCTTCAAAGTTTCAATTCACTGTAAGGATCAAGAAGAAAGTTTAGCAATGGCTGAACAATTTGAGATGCCGCGCGTTAAACTTGGAACCCAAGGTCTTGAGGTATGTGGACAGTGGACTACATTCTGTTTTATTTTGTTTTGATTCTTCAATAGTCAATAATTTATTTTGTCGATTTAGTTCTTTTATTTCTGGGAATATTTGTTGCTATATTTTTGTTGGAAACCATTTCAATTTTGTTATTCATATCTGGGTCATCAAGAAGCACTAAAGAAACAAGTATATTGATCTGGACATGACACAATTATGTATTAATTGATGAAACATGATGAAACATAATGAATTTTTGGTTTAGATGGCATTTAAATATTGTTGTTAGTGAATAGTTCTCTCTCTCTTTCTCTCAATATGTTAAGATATAGTAGAAATAAGGTTCAGTGAGGAAGGAGAAGTTTAGATGTAGATTTCTTGCAGTATTAATTCCTTGCAAATGCTGAAACTGTTAGTGCATTCCCTAGGGAAGCTTTTTTTGCAAATTGATTGGCAAATAATTAATTTCATTAGTTTTCTTTAACTAATGTATTCTTAAATCTCATTATTTCATTAAGTGAAATGTGTTTTTGCTCTCAGGTATCGAAGATAGGTTATGGTTGTATGGGGCTTACTGGAAATTACAACTCTCCTATTCCTGAGGAGGAAGGAATTGCAATAATCAAAGAGGCATTTAGTAAAGGCGTTACATTTTTGGACACATCAGATATTTATGGTAAAAACCATGCCAACGAGTACTTGGTGGGAAAGGTAGATACTTATCTAAGAAACTTTTTCTTGATTATGGAAGCACATTCGAATATATATGCTGGCACGATACCTTTGCTCCTTTTGTCACTGAAGGATATGATGTGAACAACTGAAATGATAATCCATGGTATCAAGTGAAACTTAAATAAAGTTTTCCAGCATAAAATCACGTTCTTTGGTTTCAGAAGCTCCATTTCCTGATACTTAACTCCTTGATAATAGTTACAACTTTACAATGATATAGGAATCTGATATCAAAAAGAAATGAATGACAGAAAGCTTCATTCTTGAATATCATCTTCTGCTTGAAATTTGTTGCTGTCTATTACTTAAATTAGTATCAAATTATCAATGTGCTAAAATTTGCTTACAAAAGTCAGGATACAACGATGGACAATGGTAAGAATATGGTCAATAAAAGTTTTAGCTATTGTACCTGCGAGTTATACAAAGTTTTACCATGGAAACTAATATGACAAAGTTCAAATTTGTGAAAGTTTCTCCTTGTAAATGATATAAATTTTTTCTTCAGTTAATTAATAAACTTAGCTCACCTTTAGCTCTTACGTCATATAAATTGCAGGCATTGAAACAGTTACCTAGAGAAAAGATCCAGTTAGCTACAAAGTTTGGTATAGTTGAAACCAATGCTTCTCAAATTATAATAAAAGGATCTCCTGAATATACCCGCTCTTGCTGTGAGGCCAGCCTAAAGCGTCTTGACGTGGACTATATTGATCTTTACTATATACACCGAATCGATACTACCATACCTATTGAAGAGACGGTGAGTACTTCTATATATTTAGTAAAAATGATATCCATTTTGATCAGTTGTGTAATGAAACTATTTTCTTTTTGGCTTGCGTTCGTTTTACTTAAATGCTTCCTATTTCGCTATCAATACGTTTCCCTCTTGTTAGTATAATTGTTTTTTAAGTTGCAGATGGGAGAACTTAAAAAGTTAGTTGATGAAGGTAAAATTAAATATATTGGGTTATCTGAAGCTAGTCCGGACACAATAAGGAGGGCCCATGTAGTACATCCTATTACTGCTCTGCAAATGGAATATTCCCTTTGGACTCGTGACATTGAAGAAGAAATAATTCCACTTTGCAGGTTTCCATTTTCTCAATTGTTTCTGTTGTAATCTTGATTGTCCAAAATATTCCATTTTTGGTGAACATTTTGGCAAATTGCAATTTAAGTTGGAACTTATAAGCAGATGTTTGCATTTAAAATTAACTGTTTACTACATAAAGTACTTCATATGTTTTTTTCCTCCTAGGGTTAATATTACAAATCACTGCTCATATTTTCTAACGTCATAGTTTATGTCTGTGTGCCTTTTCTTCTTGATGTTAACGTTGTATGTTTAATAGATTAAACTGCATTCTCAGTTAGTTTATTGGACATTGTGTTTTTCATTTAGAATACTAGAAGTATCCTCCTTTCTATTGATGCCATTGTTGCAACATTCTGGTTAATTTTCTTTCCACTACTATGCTTCATGGTATGCATTATATCCTTCCTGTTTATTAATTATTTTCGCGTATAAGATTTTTCGTTTTTCCTTTTTGAATGGGTGATTAGTGAACTTGGGATCGGAATAGTTCCATACAGTCCAGTAGGCCGAGGGTTTTTTGCTGGAAAGGCCATAGTGGAAAGCGTGCCTCCAAATAGTTTATTGGTGTGTATGCATCTATATCTTTTCATTTTCATCTTGTAATCTTTTTCATCATTTATTAATATGTACTATTTGCTGAATGGTTTCGTAATTTTCGTACATCAGGAATATCACCCAAGGTTTACAGGACAGAACTTTGATAAGAACAAAACCATTTATTTTCGTATAGAAGCATTGGCTAAGAAGCATGGATGCACTCCTGCTCAACTTGCTCTTGCATGGGTTCTTCATCAAGGAGATGATGTTGTACCTATTCCAGGTGAGTCATTCATATAAAAATCTTGCTTCATATGTGATAGAAGAAACATTGTTTGCCATATAGGAAAATGTGGAGTACTAAATTAAGTTTGAACCATCTGTTGAAAAAATAACCTATTGGGTTGACATGACATTACACATGTTTAAACATTTGTTTGGGCCCTGCCAGTATGAGAAAACTTATGACCAGAAGTATGGAATTGTGATCACATTGGAGATTCTCACATTCTGGTGCCCCTGATTAGTTGTGGTTGATTAGCTTAGAACCTTAATTTTTAACAGAACTGGAATTGTGGGATGGGGAAAGTTGAAACAGCCCTCTGAAACTAATTAACTCGACCTCTTTGTTTAATTTGTTTCAGTGCCAGTTCAGTTAGTTTGGTATTGGCATTTTTCCCTATTTGGCTAAGGATTCCATTGAAAATTGATGATTTGAAGTTTCCTCGTCAGTTCCATGTGAGAGAGGCCAAAATCTTGTCCCAGATCTCTGGGAAGGGGTCTGACAGCAAGATCAAGCATCGAACTTTTTGGGATGAGAACATTTGATTTTATCTCTGTGTCCTAAAGTAGATGAAGTGGAAAAGACAGTCCTATTTTTTTACAAGCTTGAATTCCCCCCGAGTGAATTGACTACATCTATACGTGATCGTAGTATTTCATGTCGCCTCATCCTTGGTTCATTGACAAGGAAGAGTTGGGGTGTGTCAAATTCTTAAAGAGTTTAGTTTCAAATAATCAATAAACATAGAGGAGTGATTCACCCACAAAAAGAAAGAAACCACCCAGCGGATATTATAGCTCTGTACCTTGATTCTTGCTATTTTTGGACAGGAAGGAAAAGTCCTAGCTGACATCCTGAGTTCTACAACTACCATTGTGGCCTTTTTAGATTCTGGATACTCGCATTCTGTTGAGCGAGACTTTAATATCAAGTGTCTGTCAAAGAGGTTCCATGTCTAAGATTCAAGATCTCTTCAAACGTGGTCATACCAGTTGATGCCACTAAGGAGAAGAGAAGGCAGAAGAGGAGACACCCTACTGCTAGACATCCACCATTACGTTCCCTCTATGAACGTTCAATATTCCCCCATGTGTCAGACTAGAATGAAGGTCGAGGTCATGAAGCGTCACTCACCTTTTTGATGCGTGATTCTTAATATATTCACTTGATGACGGAAATGGGCTATGACCCTTGAAAGGGTGAAGGGCTTATACTTTCAGTTTTTCCAACAGAAATGGTTTTACAGAAACAATACAGAACACTCAAAGTAGGTCCCATGTGAATAAAATAAAATACCACCCCCTATTTGTTGTGTGTGTTTTGAACCCCTCCTCTTTACACGCAACAGGCTTCATATACTTTAGCATTTGGTATAGTTTCATAAGACTTTGGCATGCTTTCTATTATTACTGTGTATCTTTGTATTACCTAATTAGAAGTCTATGATGTGCTCGATTAGAATTCTTGCTTAGTTCTTGTTTTAGATGCTCTAGCTTCTGTCGTCATGAAGCATTCTGCATATGTTTTAACCCAATCTTGAAATATTCGTAGGTACAACCAAAATAAAAAATCTCCACGAAAATATTGGTTCTGTGAAAGTGAAGCTTACAAGCGATGATTTGAAAGAGATATCTGATGCTGTTCCCATCAATGAAGTTGCAGGGTCGAGAACTTTAGACGTTTTTGTCCAGGTCTCGTGGAGATTTGCCAACACTCCACCTCTGAAATGAAAGGGAGCTAACGAAATATACAATGTGCTTGTTTGCATATGCCTATTTGTTGAGTTCATTATTTTCCTTGGTGGACACATTTATTTCTATTTGCAGTTCTTTGACATTCACTAGTTTGTATTGCTGTGTCTCAGAAGTGGTTCAATGTCCACTATTAGAAGGCTATCAAATAGTTGAACCAGTTCATATTTACTCCGATATTGTTGTTGCAATCTTCACTGTTGAATAACCTCGTCTGTAGGATAATAAACCAAAAATCCAACTAATGAAATTTGGAAAATTCTGTTTGTACAACACTTAGGGCTATACAAGTTTATAGCCCTCTCGCATGAGGGGCCCCACGATGTACCTCGTGTTGGGGGGGAGGGGACGGGGGGGAGGTAACATGTAGGATAGTGGAGAAATTTTATACCGAGCATTATTTGACTAAAATGCTTGTCTGAGTATATGCTAGTGTAAGCCCGTTAGGCATGGTTATTACTTTGGATTTTTGCCTCTTGTAAAAAGTTTTTGGAGGAAGCTTTTTAAATTTTGTTTGAAAACTAATTTTTAAGAGTTTACTATTTTGAAAGTGCTTTTGGAAGAAATTATATTGGAATTAACTTCTTCAAAATTTTTTTTAGTTAAAAGAAACGTTTTCATATAATTAATTTAACAGGTTCAAATGCAGCTTTTGGATCTCATAAGCCCCTTTTAGCATTTTGAAAGTCTTGTCAAATGAGTTTTATAACGAGTTAGGTTGTTCATGTGTGGGACATTTTATACGAGGCTCAAGTAATGGTTACACACGTGCCCCAAATCCAAAATACTTGTAATCAAGATCCTTGTAAGCATTCGTTGAATGATTGTATGATTCCTACGTGAAAAGTACCTCGATAAAATTTGACATTCCAAATCAACCAATGGATTAAGAACCCTTCAAAAGACAAATTGACTATCTTCTCCCCGTAAGGAGTAGTGTTGGCTGTAAATCTAGTATGACTTCATCCTTGAGTAGCTTGTCAATCAGTTCCTCCGGTAGCATCACCCTTACTATTCGCCCAAGCCCTTCCTCTGGGGAAGGCATAATCAAAATTAACCCTTCACCTTCCACGTTCCCCAAGTGATAGCTCACGTGAACGGGTTTCTCACCCTCCTTGAACATTGTGTCAAACATCATCGACCGCCCCTCGGGATCTATCATATGTTCCATGTTAATGCAAGTAAGTTCCGGCCCGTACATTCTAAATGGGGGAGCAAACTTGGCCCTTTCTTCCTTGCGCGTATCAAACAAATCCAGACCGGCCATATGCCTATGAACATGCTTCGATACATTGCCTATTCCATCACTTCCCAGCAATTCTTGGGCATCCAAAGATAGTGAAGAAAAACTCGATGCATTACCAAAATATCCAAAAGGGACGGACTTATTTGAATGCTTTCTCAAGTCTACACAAAAGGATAAGGAATGCTTAATCCCTTTTGTTGGTTTCTTCAACCTTGCAATGCTGGACCAAAACAATGCAACGAGCAGATCAAAGGGAGTGGCATTCGCGCTGTTGGAATGGATTCGAGAGAGATATTTCTTGATCGATGAATCGGGAAATCTTAAAGTTGCCGTGCCCATTTTCACAGGTTTAGATTCGACTGAGGATTTTGCTGCATATAATTCAGTTGATTCTGTGTGATTATTTTGTAAAGATCGACAATCTGTTGCAGGGAGGTGGAAAATAGGATGGTGAATTAAGGGTTGGCCTCGATGAAATTCTGTCCATGATTTGAAAAAAAGCGTTGCACTTGTGAGATCCGCATGCATGTGACTACAGCTGAGGCCAATTGCTAAACCTCCACATCTGAAATTATTTATCTGCAAAATTATTCCATGGGAATTACTTTTCAATTTATTCAACTTGGAAATCTAGCTCAAAACCCTAATTCAATACCCAGTTTGAAATAAAAAAACCACGGGTGCGGTATCTACCTGGATTCGAAATGGCGACCAGATATTTGGATCTTCCGGCATATCCTCCCACACCGTTAGATCTCGCTCCTCCACAGCATCAGCAGATCTCAAAAACTCATCAATGGTGGCGCTTACTTCAGCCCTCACAATCCTCATACCAGCATCATTGCACTTCACTTCCCAATTTCCATCCACACCTCGGGTCAACCGACCCGTTATTTTAGGGTACTCATTCAGTAGACCCGAGAGAGCGATCCGGAGATTGTCCATGTCCGATGAGTGTGGACCCTCATCAAATGGATTCGACTCGTAGTAAAAAACGACATGGACACTGTGAAGCCCCATTGCATGATCCAACGAAGAGAGTTTCAAAGTCTTCCCCGGCTCAATCGGCTTGCTGGATACTACACTGAGTAATGAATGGACTTTCACTCGACTTCTCTTCTCCGGCTCCATTTTCACACACTGATATAGAAAATCTAATGGTGGTGGATCCAAATTGGGAAGCTATCTATTTATACATGGTATCAAATCGTCACAACTACAAAATTCTTAAATTTTCTTCTACTGCTGTTTGTATGCAAGTGGAATGGCAATGCAATTAAGACGACTGCCAGGTAGTGTCCGGTGGCGGATGGACAATAGGACGGTGGTAGTTAATGGCATTTAGTATGCAGTTATTGCAGAACCCTGCACGAGTACATATTTGTTGGGAGTTAATATAATCAATGTTCACTGAACTTCACTATAGGTTACTATTTGCTCATCGAATTATAAAATGCTACTCTTTGCTCACTGAACTTTACTATAGGTAACTACTTGCTCAACGAAATTTAAAATGTTACTTATTACTCACTCAAATTTGTACAAAGTTACCCATCAATCATCCATATCATTTCTGTGAGTGTTAACTGTTGCAAAGTTTAGTGATCAACAAATTTAAGTGAGCAATGAGTAACATTTTAAATTTCGATTCGTAAATAATAACTTATAGGAAAGTTGAGTGAGCAACATGTAACTTTTTAAAGATTGATGAGCAAGTAATAATCTATAATAAAGATCAGTGACCATTCATTAAATTATCTCTATTTGTTGGTACTCGATTCAATTTTATACATATGTTAAGAAAACGTGATGTGAAAAATGTATTGGAGGAGATATTGTTGAATAAATTCATTGAAGGAAGACATATGAGTTAAGTTGTAAATCTAACTCTCATGTTGACATGATGTTTGCTGGATAACAACATTAGATGTACATCGCGATAATCAAAATGAGTAGTTGAATGCAATGGTTTTCAACTTAAAAAGAAAACCATGTACTGTCAAATCGTGCAATTCTCTTACGAATTCCATAACACAAGAAGTGCAAGAGGTAGGGCCAATATAAATGTCAACTTTAATTTGGTAGTTGAGGTAAGGCAATTAGTACAAAACATTTCTAACTTTCAATATTATTATGCAAAACATCTCTATCTTTTAGCATTTTCACATGTCATTGCGGAAAACGTCATTTTCACTCATTTTCACCAATTTTTTAACGTAAAATCACCAATATACCCTCCTAAAAAAATTAAAGAGAAGAATAAAGAACAAATTGCAATCTTACTCCTAAACTTTTCAAAAACTCAAATCACCCCACCAAAAATAACTTCACCTTCATGGAGCTGTCGGTTTCCATCTCACCAATCACCACCCAACCGCCAACTAAAGCACCGAAGCTCACACCACAAACAACTGCTATCAACTCCCAAACACTTTTCCACAAACAAATTGAACAAACAACAAATTTATATGGCACAACGCATTGCCTTTTTGAAGGGAGACATATGAGTTAAGTTGTAAACCTAACGTCTCAGGTTTTCATGATATTTGCTCTATAAAAACATTAATTATACGTCTCAATAATCAAAATGAGTAGTTGAACACAATGGTTTTCAACTTAAAATAGAAACACGGACTATCAAATCGAGCAACGCCTCATTAAAGCTAATAGGCTTAGTTATCTGGATAGAACCATTCTCTTGTAGATTCCATAATACAATAAGGGTATGTTTAATTACATTAATTTTTCATGAAAAATATCAGTTTTTCACCCAAATTTCTATTTAGAGTGTTTGATTTCTATTTTTTTCATGGAAAATATTTTTCAACTTTTGAAAATATGCCTAATTTTCCTTGTTTTTAAGGAAAACATTTTCCTTGGGTAAATGTGGTTTTTATTTTCCACAAAAGATGGAAAACATTTTCTTTTCTAAGTGATATTTTTCATGCCAATCAAATACACTTTAAGTGCAAGAGATAGGACCAATATAAATGTCAACTATAATTTGGTAGTTGAAGTAAAGGATAATAAGCACAAAACGTTCATACCTTTTATTTTTTGACATTTCATCCATATTTTCACTTTTCATTGCTAAAAATGTTCTTTTTCACCCATTTTTAACGAGAAATGATCAATGCACCCTCCTATTTAAATAAAACAAAAAATGAAGAAAATAAAATAAAGAACAAATTGCAATCTTACTCAAATTTTCAAAAACTTTCAAATCACCCGCCAAAAACAATTTAACCTTTATGGAGCTGTCGACCTCGATCTCACCAACCACCACCCAACCATTGCCTAAAACATAGAAGCACACCTCAGAAACAATTTGACATCAACTCCCATACACTTTTTCATAATCAAATTGAACGAACAACAAATTTATATAGCCAAAATCAACCAAAAAAAGCTTATCGCGCGCGCAACACGTTGAATTTTTCCATCAATTTCAACATTGACAATGGTCCCCACTGTTGCGGACCACCAATTCCCGCTTAGCCATATCATGCCGCACTTGCTACAACAATGAGCTTCCATCAATTTCATTCTAATATGCCCCATAATTTCTAGTTCGTTATTACCCAATAAAAAAATTGAAAACTGTTGCTGTAGATTTTGATTTTACACATTTGTCGACGTTTTAAAACCATGTAGAGAGGCGCCCTGGTGATTATAGTCGATTGGTATGTTGGAAATAGCATAGGTCTTGCTGGAACAGGTGGTGCCGCCAGTATTAGCATTAGCGAGTTGGGTATCTTGGTTTGCAATTCCAACCAAATCTATTGGCATCAAGGTTTGATATTGGGTAGTATGTGTAGATAAGAGTAAGGGCTTTCCGGTGGTATGGAAATCCGTCGGTTTGGGATGTGGTTGGCTGGAGGCTTTTGGCTTCTAAGGTGCAACACCATTTGGTGGTGAAGGAGGAGGAAGGGAGAGGAGGAGAAGAGAAGAGAAGAGAGAGATCTTTTTTTTGGTTATTTTTAACATTTTAATAATTTATTTCGACTTGTTTGCTCTTTTAAAAAGGTTTAGGAGTAAGATTGCAATTTTTTCTTTTTCTTTTTTGTTTTATTTAAATAGGATGGTATATTGGTCATTTTACGTTAAAAATTAGTGAAAAGGACATTTTTCGCAATAAAAGGTGAAAATAAGGGCGAAAATACTAAAAAATGAAAAGTATGGACGTTTTTGTACAATAATATTGAAAGATAAACACGTTTTATACTAATTACCCTTGAAGTAAATGCACTCCTCTGTGTCTCACACTAAGACGGGAAATGACAATGCTACACTTGTAGGGAATTTATTTAAACATGCACAGCGGAAATAAACAGTTTCAATTCCCATCAGGATTCAGTTTTGTATTTAGATAAGAACTGTATGAGAAATATACATTTTTCTTGATTTTGCAAACTCCTTTGCGTTATTCTTTTCCAGCAACTTGAATCTGCCTTCCACAGCTGTCCAATTGTCCAGCCTCCAATGAAATCCACACAGAGAATAGACTTCAACTGCTAGGATTTTTCCTCTTGTACCAGCAAGAATAATGAAAACCATATGGATCTCAAACCCTAGCCATGTATTTATATAAACCCAAATGGACCCGTCCTGGTCCAGTCCACTATTTAATTAATCCATTTAATTAAACCCGGTCCGTGAATTAATTAATCAAAATAATTAATTCAGGGATATAAATAACCAATCAAATTAATTAATTTATCCAACGATTGTTAAATTAATTAATTGTCAATTTGCAATCTTCCAATTCTCTTTTGTGTGCGACCTATTAGGTTCCCGACCACGATACCTAACGACGTGAAATATTTTTTTAATCTAATCAAAACTGATAAATTAAACACCCTTTTAATTTATCACAAATTTACACTTGCCTTTCCAGATTGACATCTAGCAATGTATCTGGGCAACACATGTGACGGGAAATGTCACGTGGTAGGACAAAACCAAAACTGTTCGTTTACCATGAAATTATAATCCCTTCGTCAATATGATCCGATCAACTACGAGATATGGAAGTGTGTCAATCTCAATTATTGATCATATCTTTCATTCTATTATTAAGCCAATATGAGTCGAAAACTCCTTTTCGACTTATATGTATACCTTGGCCAATGATTTTGTTATTAACTTAGTTGAATGAAATGCAGATCACAATCTCTTCTTATCTAAGAGTGACGAATCCTCTATTGGTCATTTACAACCTTCATATGGTTCTTGACATACCCGAACGATGTCGTATTAGCGATCCTTGACAGAGCAACATCAAACACCGTCAAAGCATGACTGTCCTCATACAAGGCACTATGATGACCTCAAGTCATAGGACCAATTTCATTACCGAACGTTAGAAATTAACCACTGACACTCAGATAGTTATCCATGTGGAATCTGTTGGCGGGTCTCCAATGTTTTGTTCTATAACAAAACATCAACGTGTTCATTTAAGTGTCACCACACTTTAGCTCGTGAGATCAGCTACTTCACAAGTAAGAAATGTCACACGTGATGGTCTATCTGTATTAACGATATCCGAATCTTGTTATTACTTACGACCACAATTTGTTCAAGATCCAATCATACGTAATTTGTATATCACAATCACAACTCCTTGTGATTAACAAATCACTTAAACTTGAATTTTCGGACTCTATTATTTAATATTATTTATCACAAAATTAATTTAAATAAATAATAGATCTTTCCAAAATTAAATGTATTAAATATATTAAAAGTGTTTACAACCTAAATCGATTGGATTTAGGGCATAACACTTACAACACTTTTGATAGCATGGAAATGGAAAAAAAGATGGAATTGGAATTGAAAATTCCAACTTTTGGTGTTTGATGCCTTATATTTTCCATGAAATTGCGTTTCTTGAATTTCTTGGAACTTGGAATTTTCCTTTTTTTAGTGGTCAAATTCCACCCTACCGTAGCGATTATTATTATTTTTTTCGTCTTTTTTTTGTTGGCAATGAAAACCAATTCTAAGAATTATTGTAAAAAAATATTTCCCTTTAATTGATAATTTTCATGTAAAATAAAGCCAAATGAACATTAAAAAACACTTCTATTTCAATATTTTCTATATGGAAAATTATACCAATCAAACACAATAATTTACAATTTCCAAGAAAACAATTCTAGGCAATTCAATTCCCTGAAATTCATTTTCTAGGCAATTCAATTCCATCTTTGCAATCAAACGAACCATTACAAAATTGGTTCACAGATAACACTTGGCGAAAATTCATTGGAAGTTGAGAAAACAATTTTGTACACGACTTTTTCTAATAGGAAATTAATATATCTATAACTAAAAAGCAACATCAGAAAACGTCTTCGAAACTGAATATGATGAATGAGTTATCCAAGCCCCGTTAGATTTGAAATGTGTTATTAAAAAATTAATAAAAGTTATAAATTCCGTAAAATGTGCAATTCAAATGAATTGTTTTGACTTAAATTTTAATCATTTTTTTTAAGCTAAACTAAACTAAACGTGGACTGATATTAAGCCATTTTTTTTTATACGAATTAAAATTAAAATTTTAATCTAAGTCAATCAATAATTAATTTTAACTGCATAAGATTCCTAACTTTTCAACTACATTTCATTAACATTTATCAAAAACTAATTTTAATTCCTACCAAATAAGAGTTAAATTGTACAAGCACCAAATAAATAACATTTCCATTGCAATAATAATTTCTTGCTCGAAGAATGAAGATTACAAGTATTCATTCACAACAAAACAGGCACATGCTTTAATATAAACTCTGCTGGTCCAAAACCAAAATACTTAGGCAGACGACATGCTTCAATTTTCTATGTTTCAAGTAGAGAATGACGCAGGAATTTCCCATTAGGAGATCTTGTCAAAATGTAAATAGAAGCGACTAAAAATTCGGAAGCAATTGTTGAGGAAAATCCTTGAAATGTGAAATAATCAGCAGCAATGATATTAAGATTGACAAAGAATTGCTAGCGATGGCTGTCTTTGCTGCTATTTGGCTCTCGGAGATTCTGCAATTTCACAGATTGTGATGGTGGCTCTTCCGCGGATCTTGCAATCTCAATTTCTGGAATTTGAAGTTGCACGTCCATCATTGATGCTCTGCAAGAAAATAGAAGGGGAAAAAAAAGTTCGGCAGATGCATGAGGAGATACTACATTAGAGTTGGACATTACAAGTGCAACAATGCTTTCAAAGCGTACCAGTCTTTTAAAGGATCTAGTTTGCACAGCTTTCTTCACCTTCTTCCAATCTGGTTTGGCACGATCCAAAGCCTGAGGCAGAATGTATTCTTGTCACATACCTCTTAAATGGGGGGCGCGCAGGGGTAGAGAATGAACCCAAGAAGCAATAATTTGACCATTTGAACACAGAAAGCATAAAATAGATGACAAATTAATGACGTCAGAAGAGCATTATCTATAATGCACATCCAACAACTCAAAATAACAAGCCCAGCTAGACCCAATAGCAGTCTTTTAAAATGAGAAATGGAGGGTGGATTTTTGAATGGTGTGAGAATAAACGATGCATCATGCATGGGGTTTGATTTGTCATTTAATTTAGATTTGGATAACTGGATGTTTTTTAGTGGCAGCTGGGTGGTGGAGGTAGCCAGCGGAGATGGAGTTGGTGTTAGCGGCAATGAAGAAAATATGGCCATGTGTTGAAGCTGGCGGTGCTTGTTGTAGACGTGGTTCTTGGCCGTGGCTTTAGGATGTACACTCAGGGTTCATGAAGAAAACAATCATTTTAATTTTTTTTTTTTTCCCTCTGTTTTTTGATTTCTTTTTCCTTTTTTCCTCTTCCCCCCCCCTTTTTCTGAAACCTAATTTCCTCTGTTTAATTCTAAACAAGGGCATCATAATCTTTTCAACAACACATAAATTGACTTGTGAAACCTAAAACTAACACTTTCCTTTACGTGGACATCCAATCTCATAGAGGTCAATAGGTTGGGGAGTCAAAAACTAACTTTTGAAGGTTGAGGAGCTGTTTCCATACTACCTGAAAGGTTGGGGAGCCCAGCCATAATTTTCCCTTTACTTTTGTTCCTTTTTTTAACGGGAAAAAATTGTTGACATTATTCTTGATTTCATCATTCAATTGTTCTTACTAAGTGATGCCTACTAGATGAGACACATTCAGAATGCAGAAAGATATATTTATCCAGGGAAAGAATTCATCAAGATTAAAGAGTACCTCTATCAATGACTCTACACGTCGCCTCATCCGAGTATGCATGAAACCTTCTGAACACTGTTCACCATAAGACATACAGATTAATGGAAAATAACATATCACATTCTCAAAGTAAGTTCAATTAAGCACAAGGTTGACATAGGAATATTAGATATATAAGAGAAAACTTGGATTATTTTTCATTACTTCACTTCTAAACACCTGCATTCTCGATGTTTATTATGAAGGAAAACTTTTTAGCAGTCTCAACATGAATCTGGATAAAACATATCTGTCACCATTATATGAACTTTCACAAAATGGCATAGCAATTATTTCCCCTTGTAGGGACTGTATAATTGTTGATGCACTTAAGGCCTTTCATCATAGTTTCAAAATTGTACAGGTTCAGGGTCCTTATATGCAATAAGTGGAAATTACAAAACAACTCGATGACATACAACTGCGATACAGCAACATCATAGAGGCCTGCCAATACCACAGGGTCTAACTGAAACCATTTGAGTTTGGAACTTGTGGTTAATTAATGTTAATAGAACATGCTCTACGGTAACTTTAGTTAGTATATGTATGTTAGAATAGGTGATTATGGAAATATTTCCATCTAGCTTATATCCTAATCTAGCAAGAACTAATATTGTCCTTCGAATATTTCTTCCCCCTTTTTTTCCTTATATAGGTAGGATATTCTTGAAAATAACAGTAGAATTAGATGAACAATACAACATGTTCAGCCTAACTTTCACGTACTTTGTTTTATTTTAATCTTTTTGCCACTTTTAAGGGAATCACAGATCTTAAATCGCGCTATAAATACTCCTCACACTGTATCAGTAGAAATTCAGCTTTATCGCTAAGGTACAATATTTTCTTTAGCTCCATTGCCCTAAAAGATTAATCTGTTCATAACTACAATTAGTTCTCTTTATTCTTCTCCCTTGTTCCGATTCCTTTTTCTCTGCAATAAGCTTGGTATTAGAGCATCTCTTGCATCTCTCTATTCTATTAAAGTCCATTTTATTTGAGATCATCTTGGTTCTTTTCATGCTTCTTTGTTGTTACTTACTTTATATGCGAATAGCCTATTCCCCGTGTTAATCTTTTTACACCTTGATGTGCTTTGACTTCTTGCATGTAAAGTTGTAAACTGTCTACAGAGCCCAGGTTAATTTAGCAGGAGGACATTTGTGGACAGCACCACCATCGTAACTCCCAAGTAGCGAGTGTTGGGATCATGTTAAAGGAATACACTTGGGGTGAAGAAATTCTCACCTTGACATGGTAACTAACATAAGCGTGAAATGTTGATAAACTCCAAACTGTTCTGTCCAGCTTTCTGCCTTCCACGTGACGCGGGGAAATGACTGCTCCTCAAATACAATCTTGAATCAGGGAAAGTAGAGAGGTTTATAGGTGAAAAAACTAGTAAAAATTATTGGGCATTACCAAAACTCACAAATCCAGCATTTGCCAATAATGCTTCAGCAGGAGCTCCTTTCAGTTCCTGCGGGGGAGAAGGAGACCACAAACAATGAGGGGCATTGCCAAGTCCAGCAGTTCGCCTTGCGTCCACAAATTCCTGAATGAAAACCAAATGACAGACATTTAAAAAAGTTACTTTTAAGTTTGAAAAGAAACAGAAAAGTAGGAATGTTGGATTAAATCTGCATTAGAATTATATGGTTCACTATTGCCTTGTTTGATCCACATTATTTCCAAAATACATTTTTCTCTCTCTCTTCTTTTCAACCACACATTTTTTAATAAAATAATATTAAACACAAATCCAAAACTTTTCCTTATTTTTAACCACACATTCTCCATTAATTTACTATTCCAAACTACATTCTACACAAAAATGGGGCTCAAACAGGCCCTATAGCAGGAAGTGTTACTTGCATAGCCTCAGCCAATCAAGTGACACTTTCAATTCATATTTTACTTAGTATTTATATGAATAAGTTCACAAATTCAAGACACGCATTCATGATATGCTATTTATTTCAAACTTGCTTAAAGTCCTTTAGAAACTGCGGTTAAATATTTCAACATCCATCTTTGTTGCTCCTTAAATGAGAATGTCAATAAGCAGGATAAATGATCCATGTAACTGTGATGTCAAATTAAAGCATGCATTTTTATTCCTTAACTTGTGAAAGCAGACGATCTGAATACCTACGAGGCTTACCAGAAACCTGGCATGCATGGCCTAGGCTACCATACAAAACACAGAATCTGCTGTTAATTTGAATTTTCAGAGCCAACAAATGTACCATATCAATCAAGTTAAAAAAAGATTAATAACTCAATTCTAGTGTCTGGCAATTGTAACTCGTGCTGGTTTCTTTCATTTTATTTACCTTCCCAGTTAGAGTTGTGTTTCTATTTTTTCTTTTAGTGGTGGTCTGCTGCAGCCCCGGGCCCGGGGGGGGGGGGGGGGGGGGGGG